CTCTTCCTGACTTGGCTCAGGGTTCTGTCTATGCGGGTCCCCAGGTCTCAGAACCAGGGTGTATCACTGAGAAGTGCCCGGCCAGGCAGGCAGCCCCCATGCGTTGGGGAGAGACTGAGGGTGTGGTCAAGGTTCTCCAGAGAACCAGAGCCGATGGAACCAATAGGAGAGTATTTAGTTACCTATGTATTATAAGGAATTGCTCATACAGTTATGGAGGCTGAGAAAGCCCAGGATCTGCCGTCTACAAGCTGGAGGCCCAGGGGAGCAGGTGGTGTCATTCTGTCCAAGCCCCTGGGCCCCGAGAGAAGCAGAGATCCCAGGCCCAGTCTAGGGCCTGAGGGCCGATGACCAGCATCCCCGCTCTATCAGGCAGAAAAGGAGTTCTCCTCTCCTTGGCCTCTTGTTCTCTTCAGCCCCTAACTGGATGCTTACACACACACACACACACACACACACACACACACACACACACACACTGGAAGGAAATCTACTGACTCAAATGCTAATCCCATCTGGAAACACCCTCATGGACACCCAGAAATCATGTTCAGCCAATCCTCTGGGCGCCCTTTGGTGCAGCTGACACGCCAGGCCCTGCCCACTCGCCTTCTAGCTTTCTCATGGGTGGGTGTTTTCCACCTCTGGTGTTCATTCAGTCTGTCTGTCCAAACTCACCTCCCATCCTGCAGTTAATTAGCCAGGTTGTAACTGACTGGTGGTGCTTGATGGATTAATCTGCTTGAGTTCAGAACTCTTCCTAACCCAAAGGATGGTGCATGCCGCCCCCTGCCATATACTGTGTGATGCGGCTGCTTGACCTGTGAGCTAGTGTCTGGTCTGTCAGAGGGACAATGCACATTCCTCTCAGGAATGCTGTGAAGATGAAAACATATGAGCATGTGCCTTTCCAAGGGGCTTAGTGAGGTCACCAAGCTGTGAGGTCTTTGGAACTTGACTATAGTTTGATTCTTATTTGTTAACTTTGTGAGACAGGCAGGTCTCACACTATCAACACCATTTTACAGATGAGAAAACTGAGGCTCAGAGAGGTTAAGGGACTTTCCTAGTTCTTTAGTGACCGAGCAGGAAGCAGATCTCTGGCCTCCCAATACAGAAATTCCTTTCTCTGACCTCTTTCCCCTGGCCCTGAGGTAGCCAAATCCCAACCTCTAGCAACCAACCTTTTCTTGCTAGGACTGTAGCAGGGAGAGTCAACAGGCCAGGTGTCCTGCGGTCCTTTCACTCTTCTCATCGGGGAGAATGATGGACAAAGGGCCACTGCCCCGCCCTGAGCCCCAAGGGGCAGTAGGGTGCTCGGGAAAATCTGTCTGGAAGCAACAGCTCTTCCCTCCCCACCCAGGGTGCACGGTGCTCACGCTTGAGTCTGTGAACGTGCTGCGCAAGTACATCACCCTTCTGGACCTGCCCTTCTCTCTGCTTCATGCCGGCGATGTCCTCTTCGTGCTGACCAGCAAGGAAGTGACACAGGCCAAGGTGAGGATTGCACCTTCCTTCACACCCCACTCCAGATCTGCCCCAGACTCCGGCTCCTCAAACCCTGGCCTGCAGAGACCTCCCCCAGCAGCCAGCCTCTGCCCCTGCATGTCAGTACTGGTGCTGGACCTGGAGTCATAGATTTTCAAGAACTACCTTTTTCTTTTTTTACTGATCCAGGAGGCAGCTGATCAATGTTTCTCACTCATCTGTTTCTAACTTTCTGTCCTTCTCCCTTCCTCTCTGTAAAAAATCAATAAAATATATTTTTTAAAAAACCTATAAAAATTCATGCTTATTGTAGAAAATCTGGAAATGCATAAAAGCATCAAAAGAAAATTAAAATAATAAAATTTCCTGCAATCCCACCTCTCATATGTAATCCTAGTTAATATGTTGGTTTATATCTTCTATATAAAGAATATTATATAAATATACGTACATAAGAATATATTTATTCTTATATTTTTAAAAATATATTTTTATTGCCCTAGCTGTTTTGGCTCAGTGGATAGAGCGCCAGCCTGCGGACTCAGGGTCCCAGGGTTCGATTCCAGTCAAGGGCATGTACCTTGGTTGCAGGCACATCCCCAATGAGGGGCGTGCAGGAGGCAGCTGATTGATGTTTGATGTCTCTAACTCTCTGTCCCTCTCCCTTCCTCTCTGTAAAAAATCAATAAAATATATTTTAAAAAAGA